CACTATTAAAATCATGAACGATGACTTTGTTTCGAAACATCCAAATATATGTAAAATTGAGATTTACAGACAGGCCTTGAAAAAAATGAATATTTCTCTTCGCCAACCAAAATCGGATGTCTGTGAAGACTGCTCGTCCCTGAAAAACATTTTGGAAAATGGTGAAAATGAAATCATCCAAAATCAATACGACTCTCACCGTGCTAAAGCTACAAAAGCAAATTTAGAATATAAAAAGAATTCGGACGAAGCAGCAGAAGCAGGTTCAACAAATAAACGGATTTACTCCATGGATTTACAGAAAGTTATTATTTTGCCCATCATGCCTCAAAGCAAGACCGCCTTTTTTACAAGTCGACTTGTTGTTTTCAATCAAACGTTCGCCACTTTGAGCAAGGAATCCTCTAATCAAAGTTACTGTGTGCTCTGGCACGAATCATTAGGTGGTCGTAAAGCTGAGGCTCTTGTTGATGCTATGTTCAAAGTAATCGAGAAAGAAAGGGATGCTACGGATTTTATATTTTGGGCTGATAATTGTAGCGCCCAGAACAAAAATTGGGTTTTGTACACATCACTTGTTACTGAAGTTAATCGTGTAACTGGTCCAAATCAAATTACCATTCGTTATCTCACCAAAGGCCATACTCATATGAGTGCAGATGGTATCCATGGTTTTATCGAGCAGAAACTCTTGAGGAAGAGAAACATATATGATTTTCAAGAATTGATAGAAGCTGTCGAATCATCCAGAAGGAAATTAGAAGTTCTGCAATTAAAAGAGTTCCACTTGTGGCCAAATAAAAAAAGAAATACAAAAAAGGCAGCGGATCCATTAAAGGGTTTTCTATTGAATGAAATTGTTGATGTTTGTTTCAAAAAAGGAAACCAATGCATGCAATATAAAAAAGATTTTGCAGATGAATATATAGAGTTGGATTTCATACAGAAGAAGCACAATCCTATGACCTTCACACCACAAGCCTTGTCCTCTCGTGGCATTTCAGCCTCCAAAAAAGCAAAAATCTTGAAAGATCTAGTACCGCTTATGCCAACCAACAGAAGGGTGTTTTGGGAAACGATGCCAGAATCCGAAATATCCGTGGACTTGGTTGATGCTGAGCAAGTAGGGGAAGAAATAGATTCTGATTTTGGAATATCCTGATTGTAATATTATCTTATTTGAGTTTTATCAACTTGGTACCCTACAGAAGTTTTTCTTGTGTTTTGTTTATAAAATAAAAAAAATGGAGTATGTATTATTTTGAGTTCAAAATACAGTAATGGATGTTAACTGCTTTAAAGAGTTTAATATTTTATGCTAGTTTTCTGTTACAAAACATAGTAAAGGCAATTACTGTGTTTTGATGAAGTATTATCAAATTCATTAGAAAAAAAAATTACATGAGAAGGCAGTTACTGTGTTTTGACACAAACTTATGTTGTTTATTCGAAAAAAATCCCATGCAAAACCTTTTTTGCAGCTGCCGAACTATTGTTTTAAGGGTTTATGTTCTTAAAACTATGATAAAAAGAGTGCTCAGGTTATACCTGACTACCCTTAAAAATATTGAAGCAATATCTCCATTTATTTCGTGGCGCTCGAAAATTATCATTAAATTCGATTTTTCCACGTTGTTATCGAAGTGTTGTTACTGCGTTTTGAATTGGGACAGCCGATATATACCACTGCAATGTCTGCTTAAAGAAAGAGAAAAATTCAGCAGTTATTTAATGGTATCTACAGCAATTTCCCGAAACCACAAAGCAGAACTAATTTTTATCGACCAAGGAGTTCGCTTGGATTCACGCAAGTATTTTCGGCTTGTGTTGAGCCATATGCTACCCGAAATTGAACGGCTCACATCAGACTATACTTTTATGCAGGTAATATTATAACTGACCCAGTCAACATTTATTGTTAAGATTCTGGTTCTCACAAAAACTTTGATAAAATAAAAGAGAATTACACAAACGTACAGGTTTTTGTAATTCTCTTTTTACGAGATGAAGGTGATAAATACTGTTTGTAGGATGGAGCCAGGTGTCATACTAGCCAATTCACTATCAACTATCTGAGAGAGCAAGTTACGGATTTTATAGAGCCTGGTGACTGGCCGTCCAATAGCCCAGATTTGAATATCGGCCACAGACATAGGGCTACGTTCAATACTTTAGAAGAGCTGCGCAACCGAATCATTGAGTGTTGGGGAGAGCTGGAACAAGGGAACATTGCCAACTCTATCGATTCTTGGAGTAGACGTTTAGCATGGGGTGTTGAGGAACACGGAGGGCATATCCCCCCTTAAATATGTTTTTTTTTTTTCAAAATTTTTGAATAAAATATTAGTTGTTAACTTATCGTTAATTTTTTCAAAATTGGCTATGGTAAAGGAACTGGGATATCTTTAATTTTTTCTCAACAGTCAAAATCATTATTTTAAATCGTTACCCCATCTATTTATCTTTCGAACAAGCTCGAAATAGAAAGAATATGTCGAGTATAAAGGAAAATTCCGGTAAAATAGCATATCGTAGATTTTGCTGTCAATATGAAAAATTGGAATTCGATATTACAAAAATTTCAATATTTCACTTAGTTTTCAACTGATTTTTCCTGTCGAGATCTTGAAATGTTTGCAAAATAATGAACTTTAGGAATTTATTGGAAAAAGATATACAGGGTATCACAAAAAAGTTCCAGCGCTATCCAAAACTAGGCAATTTTTGAAAGTCTGCCATTGTGAATTTTTTTCAAATGTCAAAAGTTTCACTTTGATTCGTTAGCCTGTCCATTTATTTTTCAAACAAGCCAACACAAAAGGAAACTGGTCAACAAAAAAAAAGTTATAGCTCAAAAACAAAATTCTGTTTTCTTTGGACCACCCTATAGTTTATTACTATTACATTATTACAATACTACTACTACAATTACTATATTACCGACCCAAAATGCGTGAAATAATATTTAAGCAATCGATAAATGCGTTGGCTTGTAAAGGTAGTTGCATTTGTTACCGGCATAAACTGAACTTCCATAATTTTGAAATGCCGCAGTATTAGATTAGACCTAATGATGTATAAGATTTATCTTGAGTATCTTGGACAGAGTATATCCGTCGACCGTCAATTTCTGAACATCCCTTTTTTTTTCTGCACTGAATGCCTCTACGACACTCTCAGGTTCGAGACTCATCAACGGTGGTGTAAACTTGTATAAAAAAATTAGCTTGTAGCATTGCAATCTTAATTGCAAAGTTATCATACCATACCAGTCAAACATAGTCGAATTTCCACAAATTCTGGCTTTAATCTCGGTTGTGGCGTGCGGCAATTGAATGAGCACGTACTGGTGCTCAGCCATGCCAAACTTCTCAAATTTGTTGTTGGTTAATCAATATCACTCTAGATGGTGTGTTTTTTTTTATCAGAAAATAATAATATCTCTAACAAATTGCATGTTAAATTCGACTGAACGTGTTCATTGCCATTGCCATAGGTGTTTGATACTATAGCTAAGCTTTCAAAAAATAGTAGAACAGCATACACATTTTTCAGTCTTTTTGAAGTTTACATTAAGTATTATTATACAATGGGTCACAAGACTTTATATGTGGTTACATATTGACAGTTAACTTTTTAGAAAAGCGCCGCAGCAGAATATATATCAGCTGATAGACAAATATGGCGTGTTGATAATGATACAGTGGCTGGTTATAAAAAAATCGCTGGATACTCAACAAAGATCTTAGTTAGAAACGATGGACAATATGTTCCGACTGAACAACCTAAGGAAGCTTTTGAAATGATTGATGAGTTCATCAACAATAATCGTTGATAAAAAATAAACAAAAAATCAAAATTACTTAAGAGTTATATTGAAAATACCGTTAGCACCTGAATTTATTATCAAATATACTTACTAAATCCAGTGGTCCAATTGTTGTATTAGTACCGAGGATATTCATCTTAAGTGCTTGACCCTAAATACTAGGCATGTGTGGTGAAATCCTAATTTTTTTTTTAGATGAAAGGTGTCAAATACTTATTTTGGAAACACCTAATTTTCAATAATAAAAAAATAAGTTGATGACTGAATCAAATCGGCACCCCCAGCTTCACGAAAATCACTTCTACAAGTCAAGGCATCTGTAAAAAAGGTTGTTTTTATCCTTCTCTTTTATTACTTTTAGATGCCTGAAATTTGCTGGCAATATTTCAGCTGAAAATGTATTATCAGTAACAAAAATTTGTAGTTCAATGTATAGTGTGTTAATAGCCGACTTGTTGGTCTGTACCAATTGAAGGTGTGAAATAAATAGACGTATATTAACACCGCTGGTACCTAATCGAATTTTTTGCTATAAACTATGCTGAATTTTGAAATACCACATAATTAGATAAGATTGATTCATAAATGTCTCAAAAAAGCGAATATTTCACTAGTGCGTTCCAAATCTTTTCAAGGTAAGCAATAATTTTTTTTTTTGTTGTTCTTGTGATTGATTTTTTAAAACTTTCAAGTAGGAAATATAACGCCCTCGCTGTATAGTTACCGGAAGAAAACAAAATATATATTCCATATATGGTTAAAAAAAAAAACTTTTATTTTTAACCATATATGAAATGTTGCCATTACTGACTTTTCAAAAATTTGAAAATGTCACATTTCTGCCTTTTCATTTTCCTGCTCCATTACCAGTCCCAGGACGGGAAATTTTTTCCGTCCTCATTTCACGTCCACGGACGGAAAATGGAGCAGGGAAGTATTTTCCGTCCTCATTTCCTGTCCTCATTTTCCAATTTTATTTGGTTCTCACGAATTTTTTTTTTAAAGAAATTATGGTTAAAAATAAAATAGTATACAAACCTCGACGGGAAACTTCATTGTTGTCTCGAGGTTCAGTTTATCTCGACGCTACGCGTCTCGATAAACTATATAACCTCTCGACCAGCAATGAAGTATTTCCCGTCTCGGATTGTAATATACAATTTTTTTCTATAGAATGAAGGTCCTATTGATCTTCTGCCTGACGGCAACAGCCTTAGATTGCCAAAAACTGACAAAATTCGGATCACCCTTATTGCAAGACGTTGGAAAGCCTTTATTTCTAACCTCCTATTTGGAAGCGAATAGAATTCAAGAAGCACGTGAAGCTGCCCAAGTGAAATTAGAAACTTTTGAAAATATTTCCAGTTATTCTGGTTACTTGACTGTCGACAAGAAGAACAATGGAAATTTATTTTTCTGGTTCTTCAAATCCGAAAGTAACTACGAAGAAGATCCTGTCTTAGTTTGGTTGCAAGGTGGCCCTGGAGGTAGCAGTTTGTATGGGCTTTTTGTTGAGATTGGTCCCTTTGGAGTAGAAAATGGAACATTGGTGTTACGTGATTTCTCCTGGCACAAGAACCATTCAGTTTTGTACATAGACAATCCTGTTGGAACTGGATTTAGTTTCACTGATGGTGATTACGTAACAAACCAAACACAAGTGGGAGACCATCTTTATAAATTCCTCACTCAATTCTTCACAATGTTTCCAGAAATTCAAAAGAATGAATTTTATATTTCGGGAGAATCCTATGCGGGGAAATACGTGCCTGCTATTGGGTACACCATACATAAAAATAATCCAACAGCAAGTGTAAAAATTAATTTAAAAGGCTTTTTAATTGTTAATGGCCTCAGTGATCCAAGGCATCAATTCCAGTTTGGAGCTTTACTTTACCAGTTAGGTTTAATTGATAAAAAAGCAGCTGATCTTTATAAAAATTATGAAAGTTTAACTGCTCAAAGTATAGATATGGGAATATATGATTTTGCAACTTATTCCTGGGCACAGCTTATTGGAACACTGTTTAAAAAATATACTGCATTGCCTAATATTTACAATTTTGCTTCGGATGTGGATGACAGTCCCACAGAATGGCAAGATTTCATTAAAACGGCCGAGATAAGAAAAGCCCTCCATGTAGGAAATCGAACGTTCGAAGATCCAAGTAACCCAGTTTATGAGAGCCTCTCGAACGATATCCCGAAAAGTGTGGCTCCTTGGGTTAGTGAACTTTTAAGTTACTACAGACTCCTAATATTTAACGGCCAACTGGACGTTGTCGTCCCTTATTCCTCCACGGTAAACTATCTCCAAAATTTGAATTTTAGTTCGAGTGCCGAATACGCAAAGGCAGAAAGGGAACTTTGGTATGTAAACAGCATAATAGCTGGATATGTCAAAAATGCTGGAAATTTGACAGAGGTTTTGGTTAGAAACGCTGGCCATATGGTACCCAAAGATCAACCAGAAGCTGCGTACGATTTGGTGTATAAATTTATTAGAGGAAAGGCGATAGGTGTAAAATAAATTATTTTTTAGTTATATGCGAAATTGTTTTATTTCATAAATTCATAAAACGCCAATAGAACCAGCGTCTTAACAGCCTCTAAGTCCGGCGTGATCAATCATTAGTTAAGTCATTATTAGCAAACAATAACCTTGGATTATTTCATTCATTATAAAATACAACCATCAGACAACGTCATTTTTTGAATGAATTTTGTTTAAATAAGTGATTATTTCACAAGACCTTGTTTATTAGCGATTAAATTTTTGTTTACCTTTTTTGACAGAATTTTGATAGAAATATTCTGACATCTTATAATAAATAGAACTCTTTGGATAGGATTGAAGCCAAAAATTCAATCCTAATTATTCAGGAAATAATCTAGCCGTATACCACTCGACCTATAAATTTAAATGGATTAAACTATCCAAATATTTTTTGCACAATTTTGCTTTTTGGCAAATAGTTTCATGCACAATAACTTTTAAATAAAAGCACTCGACCGCTTCGCGGTCTCGGGCTTTTATTAGGTTTGTTCCAACCGGCAGTAATTTCCAGTAATATTACTGGCACACATGCGCAATTGTGAAATGCTGTTCCAACCAGTTAAAATTACTAATTTAGAATTGGCGATAATTGACAGTTCGTCGTTCCAACCGGAGTTACGGATAGTAAAATTACGGTTCAAACGATTCTTGCTTGAAAGGAAGAATTGTTGGTTCTAAAATTAGACGCATGCGTAGTGAGGTCGAAAACGGGTCAGTGGTTGATCAACAACGAACATAAATAATAATACGTAACCTATAACCTCAGTTTTTTGTTTATTTAAATTATTTATTTGAAAATGACTGCTATAGAAGGTAAGTAATTTAATTTTATTTGTTTTTAGAGTTAATAAATCTGGTTTTTGTCTTATATTAAGGTTTAGAAGAATTCCTTATTGTAGTGGAAGATAATCCACCTACACCTGCAAGTACGTCTAGTATTATGGCTGGACCAACAACAATACAAAGCTATTAATTGATTTATATAAGAAATATAGGAGCAAAGTGGGTAAGATTTGCCTGAAAAACTTCAAAGCCATGTGGGAAATAATATCGAAAGATATTTCAGAAATTTTAAAAATCAAAATCTCATCAAAAAATGTTGAAAACAAATTTTTCGAATTTGCTTCAGAAATGGAAGACGCTTGTGGCAACAAAAAAAATTTAAGGCCAGAAATTTTACTCGGGATTGAAATTCATATTCCGACCAACATCTTGGCAGAAAGGAGTGTTCGGAATGTTGAGGGTCAAGTTCAGGAAACGGTTTCAGTTCAGGAGACGGCTTCTGTTCAGGAGAAGGTTTCTGTGCAGATGACACCAAAAATTGGTAGAAGGAGAACTCGCAAAACTGTGCTTCAGCAAATAAGAGAAGACCGGCTTCATTACCAGGAAAAAAGACTAAATTTTCTCCAGCAGGCTCATCAAGAGAACTTAGATTTGCTTCGTGAACGTAACAACATTGAAAAAGAAAGAAACATAATTATTTTAGAAAAAAAAATGCAGGTGTCATATTTTAGAAGAAATTGCAATGAATTAATTAATTAATCAATTAATTTCATGTAAGTTGGGTTTTTTTTTCATCATTGATAATACCATTTGTTTATTTTTAGGTATTTTTCAGAGTTCCTGTTAATTTTCATTTTTAATATTTTTATAAGGATATTTTATTCCAGTTTCTTATTTTATTTGATATTAATGAGTTCCTATTTGTTGAGTGAGTTCCTATTTTTTTTGTTGAAATTACTGGATTTAATACATACCTACCTATTGTTAAAAAAATATAAAAACTATAGAAAATTTCAAAGTTTATTATTTATTTTAGAAAAATAAGTATTTTTAAGGTAAATTATCCACAACAAAATTTCTAATTCTTTGTGCATCTCCATCACCATCCAAATCCATTTCATCATCAGGATCATCTACAACAGGAAGCACATCTTCAGGCTGTACTTCATTTACTCCTAAAAACTCATCCGATAAAGCAATGTTGTGAAGAACACAAGCTGCCCTTATGAAATGTACTATGTACTCCATTTTTCGCAATTTCAAGTGGTACATTTGCCTGAACTTCTGTTTGAGTACTCCAAAACAGTGCTCGATCAGATAGCGATTTTTTGCCAATTGAACATTATAGCGAGTTTGTCTCTCTGTCAATTGTCCTCGGTCCTTGAAAGGTGTTAAAAGGTTAGCATGAAGTGGGTAGCCACTATCTTCAAGGATAAAATATCGTCCACATTTTTCTACAAGCGTTTGGAGAATTGCGAAATACCCTACTATCATACACCGAACCAGGATATCCAATAAATATATACCTAATTTTAAGTGTATTATCACATACAACTTGCATCTGTAAAATGGTTTAAAAAAGTAGTACCTTATCGATTTTCACGTGGCACCCATCAATGGCTCCAATAATATTGGGAAACTCATTGGCATTGAAATGTTCAGCAATCTCCAATTTTTCAGCTTCATCGGGCCAGACTATAACTTGAGGGGCCAAATTGCTAAGGAAAATGGTTACTCTTTGAATAATCCTTTCTAGGGATGATTTTGTTATATCAAATCTATCGGAGACATCTGCAAAACTTGCAGTTTCGTGTCCAATGTACCACAAAAATATTAAAATCTGAAAAAAAAGTAGGTATGTCTATAGAAGTGCATAAAAATACCTTAAACTAGTTTACTTACATGATTGCGAGCTGAAATTTTCCCAAATTGACCATTGCCATCTTTATAATAATCACTTGTCTCAAATGAGTGTCCAATTTGGGTTGCCACATTTCTGGATACTCGAAAATTTGAAAAAAATTCTTCTTCTGAATAATCCAAAACTGTTTGTTGTAAAATTTTATTATTAAAATATATGGTCAGTATATATACCTACTCTACAAACCCAGGAAATTCTCATTTCTTGTGGCAATATCCCCAATAAAATCCAAATCTTCATCATCTGAAGACTCATACAAATAATTATTAAAAAATCCTGCCATATTTTTTATTTATCACTGTGCACTCAATCACCTTCTTCAAATCATAAAAACAAATTCAATACAAAAAAATGAAAATGAAAAGGACTCCTTGCATATGATTTGATATTTTATTTTTAGGTTATGTTGATTTTGTTATTTTCATCATCTTGAGTACTACTAGTTCGCAAAACGTTCCAACAAGTTTTCAAGTTATTTATTATAATATTACTGTTTTCGATTGCGCAGTCGCATTAGCGCGGTTACGGACGATAATATTACAGTAATATTATTGCAGGTTGGAACAAACCTATTAAGTTATTGTGCATTCAACTATTTTTCAAGCAAAATCATGCTCAAAATATGTTGGATAGTTTATTCGATTAAATTTAAAGCTCTTGTGATATAATATATGATTATACCACACAGAAACCATATTATATTGACATTGAAAAAATCTCAAGTGTCCGTTGACTAACAAGGATTTAACTAACGATTGATATAGCCGCACTTGATGTCGATACAATTTTACAATACCAAAGAATACTTTTAAGTCACCTGATTTGTATAGGTAAGTTTAAGGATGAACTATTACGGCCAAGTGGATATTGGAAAATCTCTGTGCATTATACAGTGACCGCCAAAAAGTTTGCAACAAATGGGAAAATATTTTATTATTGGGATATCAAAAAAAATGTTACGTGGGATCGATTCAGCATACCCATCAACAACAAAAATCACTGTCACAGATGTCATGTGACCACAGTCATGGCGGCAAATTTAAAAAGTTCGCCTCAAATATGTAAAAAGTGGGGTAAGATGACCAGAAATCGAAAAATTGTAAAGAGAAAAGTGGTTCAGGATTCGATTTTACGTCTATGTGTCAACTTTTAAAAGGGTACAAGGATTTTTTTAAAATATCAATTTTTTGGCCTGTTTTCTGGTAATTTGAAAATAGGGTACTTGCATGGAAAATTAAATTGATTATTGTCTATTGCAAACCGTAGGAAATCGATACGTGTTTTTTTATTTTGTTCAAATATGAATATTCCGAAAGTTATTCAAAGATTAAGTTTCGTATATATAGATATACTCAGCATGGAGAAACGTCATAGGATACTAAAAATAAGCACATTTCAAAGCGTTGTATCTCCGTCAATTTTTGTCTAACAAAAAAAATAAAAAACACGTGTTGCCAAATTTTTCATGGACTATCGACAAAATTTGATGCAAGGGGCCCATTATCATGAAATTTTTCTAAATGATCCAATACGTCTTTTCTAAATTTAATTAAGTCAATATTTTTGCAAAATGTTTTCGATATTTTTCAAATTACCAGAAAATAGGCCAAAAAATGGATATTTATTAAAAATCCTTGTACCTTTTTAAAAATTAACACATGGACGTAAAATCGGATCCTGAACCACTTTTCTCTCTAAAATTTTTCGATTTCTGGACGTCTAACCCTACTTTCAACATATTTAAGGCGAACTTTTTAAATTTGCCGCCATAACTGTGGTCGCATGACCTCTGTCACAGTGATTTTTTTTTAAATTGAAAAAATAGTCCATTTTTTCTCACAGTGGAGATTCTTAAATATCAAGGAGTAAAACTCGTAGTCATCTCCACAATACTTTATATAAAATTCAGTATTGAGTTTTTATTATTATGAGTACATGTTTCGTATATCAATATCCATCTTCAGCTCTAAAAATTAAATAAACTGATAATAGTTTGAGGAAAATTTTTTTGGCTAACAGTAATTCCTAAATACAAGATGTGGAATAATTCAACATACCTTTTTGTTTTATTAAACCAATGCTTTGTATGAGCCTGTGATCTATGGTAAGCACATCGAGACTTATCAAGGAAATTGTTGCTCACTAAGTGAAAGAAGGGGAGTGTTGATCATGCCAGAGGCAGTGGATCCTGGCTGGAGAAACGAGCGGAGAAATCTAAGGGTGAAAAAAACTCTAGGTTGAGTCCACTGTTCAACTTTAAGTGATGTGTA